TAAGAATCTTTGCTTTGTAATAACCACTGTGCCGTGATGAGACCTTAGGGAGCCTCAGGGACTGTTCCCAAACCATTAAAATTTCAGGGGAGCTTTGCTGATGGCTTTAATGAATGCAGGACTTTAATGAGTGTCGGATTGAGGCTTAAGAGATCGATTCTTTATTAGCTGCCTGCAGCTCAGCCACTCAGCCTGGAATGGCATTCAACGTACTGGCAGAAAAACGTATAACTCGACTTTTATTAAAAATGCCTATGGATGCTGCTAACTAGACGTTCCTCTGCATATCAAAGGAAAAAGAGCATTTCTGGTTTTAAAATAGATACAAGTTTTGCAAACACTTGAAAGCAAGGAGGAGCAATGAAAGTTCTTTGTAGTTAAATAAACAACTCAAGAGCTTGAAGTAATAGCTACTTAATTAAGAGTGGGAATATTAAGACAATAGCTAGGTATCTTCTAAACAGAAGCTGACGGCTGTTTTTTCATTAGTAAAAAGGGCCTTGTGATATATCTCCAGCTATAAAATTTTGAAAATAAGCTAATAAATTAGTACAWAACTGCTTATTGATCTCTTAGGAAAATCTCCATCTGTCAGCTTCTTTATTGGTAAATTGAGACTTTCCTGCATCATGTGTTAYATAGCATCCAGACCAGCCTTTAATCTACACAGATTCACAAATGAACAGACGACTTTTCAACCTAAGTCTCTATTTCGAGAGAATGAACTTCATTTTACAAACTCTTTTCATCATAAATGGCAAAACTCTGAAACTTTTATGAATCCTAAACAATTATTTAACGGGAGTAGGTTCACTGAAGTCAGTAGTGCTCACAGGGAAGTTATTCACGTGGGTAAATAACTGCGGGATGGGGCCTTCAAACAAGGACGGTAACCTTGACAGGTACCTATAATTCCCATCACTACTGCTTTGAAAACATTGACACCAGCAGTGTTTCCAATACTTGTCACTATTAAGCTAGAGTTCAGCCATAAAAATCCCTAGCCAGATTTTCAGCCCCCAGCAGTTCAGYGTTGCTTTGATCTGGGATTTTATTTCAACTTTCGGTGATAAGAGAGGGACGGCCGTGACACGCTGCTCTGTTTGAGCTCAAATCACAAATTCCTGAAATTTTTTCAGTGCCCTCTACATGTGGCCATGGCGCTCTCTGCTTACTGCTCCCGATGGAAAGAAAAGCCTACTTTGATTAACAGCTACTAAGGGTCATCTTTAAGGTAACACCTTAAACATCTTAGGTAACACCTTCTTAGTAAGGACTGGAGTAGTTACWTGTATGGATCAGTATTACTTAAATGCATGTTTTGATCTGCAAACTTCTCCACTATTAATGCCATTTAAAGTGGAAAGAGACTAGTAAATAAAGTCTTCAAAATACGGTTCAGGATGACTGCATTGAGATTATTAACTTTTTAAATTTACCAATTTTAAATGAAATAAATAAATATGAGAATAAAATGGCATGTACACAGCATGCCTTCATATAGCAATGGCATAAAAGCTACTCCAAGAACGACCAAATGCAAACCCAAAATGCTTACAGTAGCTTCTGAAATACACATATGCATAAGGTTTTTAAACTCAGATTATTTCTGGAAATATTGCTAGGTGTTACCAGTCATCTTAAACTGTGTTCCTCTGCACAGCATCAAACTGCAGCTGTCTTAGCAGTCCTGTGACCTGGGAACCTGGATCTGCATTTGCTCTTGAGCAAACTGCACCAAAGCAGCTACTTGAATTTCCAGGAAGCAGGAAGGTGTCCAGGTAAGGAACTACAATTGCTATTAATGGATCCTGATATATGGATCCTATTGATAAATTCCAGCTTAGCATAGTCGAATTTGGCTGTTGCTTGATTTTTACTGACATAATAAATTTTTTGTCCACTTTTAAAAGGTTGAATCACTGTGTGAAGGTCTAGAGCATTCAAAGACTTTTAAAGTTCATTAAATTAACTGTAAATTTTGGAGTAGGAAGCTGTTAAGAGTCTGAAACAGAGTTATAAAATAGCATACAAGAAACGGTAGTCAGCAGATTAAGCCAAGACATAGACTCTGTGCTGAGCTGCCTAGAGACTGTGCTTCTTATCCCTAGGGAAGACTAGTACCTGCTACTTGTAGATATATCTATGTTTAGATGTCCACTGGGCTCTGCTAGCTTTGCAGTTGCAGCCAACTGAAGGTACTGCAAAAATCCAACCAGGCTTTCATCTGGTGGCCATTCAGTCAAACAGGAGCGCAGAAACATCTGGGCACTTTGCAGGAACCAAACAAATGGACACTTACTTGATGGCTAAATCTTACAGGCTGAATTCTAATAGACACCAAGCAGCTCCAGCTCCCAGCTTAATTCTATATATTCGCTTGAATCTAGTGTTATCAGAAATTCCACCTGAGATTGTTAGTATTTGGGTGAACCTCTAGGAGCTGAAATGCACAGCTAATGAAGAGTTTTCRTTAATATTTCCCTCTTTTTCTTAGCTGATGATTTTAATTCAGCTTTCATACCAATAAATGTCTTGCTGTGCTTGGGAGCATGAACACAAAAACACATTCCTTCCTGAACTTACCACATCTTTCACCAACAGCTAGTATTTGTAACTGGGCATTTTAAACACAAATGCTACTCCCAACAAAGCCTCTAAAACAACCTATTAGAGACAAAGATGATATATCCAGGGAATGTAACATAAATTTTGATGAGGACTTTCAAAACAAATTAAGAATGAAATGCTTGTGCTTAGCTTTGAAACTTTGAGAGCTTTTTAAAATCAGAATCAAACCGAACATTTCAATTTGACTTGAACCACTAACAATTTTCCTATGTTAAGAAATTTCTTGGGAACTGGAACATTCTAGGTGAAAAAAGCCTTTTCCTTTATGATGATATGATAAAAAAATTGTTCAAAGCATTTCATCTTTTTTTTTTTAATAGCATGATTTATAGCAGTTAGCACTCAGGTGTCACAGATGCATTCCTCTCGGGATTCTGCATATATTTCTAAATGTACAGAAGATAATCTCTCTTCTCATCTGAGTAATTTCAAAACATTTCTGAAGAGAAAGAAATTACACCTGAAAAAAAYTGCTCTATTTGATTCCAAAAAATACTGTTTGTTAGCCTGCAGTTATTTGCTTCACTTCAACTTCAGTGCGGCTACATAGGGAAGCTTCTCAAAGCCACTTAAAAATGTTCAGCTAGTGCAAAGAGACTCCATTTTAAGAAAACCCCTTTTAGTGGAGATAAATTATTTCTGTAGAAAATCAGAGGACAGTACAGCAGAGTCCCGAGCGCTAATCAAAGCATACAGTTCTTCAAGGAACCCTTCCTTCCAAACAAATAGCTGGAGCGCTGCAAGAGTGTGAGATGTACTGCAATTATTGCGAGAAGAGCACTCTTGTTCTGGTGAGATTTGGGAATTTCTTTTCTTCTTGATCAATAATGCTTCAGAACTATGAAACCCAGAAGACTTTTTTTTTGTGCAATAATTTTTATTTGGGAAATCACTGTCCTGTCATCTTCTAAGGATCACGTGGTAATGTAGAACAAACACTCATCAGATTTATTTTACAGGAGTCTTTCTCTTAAAGGAAGATTTTCTCCCTGTGGGACTGGAATTATTTGGTGAAATTCTGTAGGCTGCTTAAGGAAGAAGGCAGGTCTCGGTGATTACAGCAGTCCTTACAGAATTTAGGGTTTTTTTTTAATTTGTAAATGTCATCTTGTATGTTTTCTTCCCCAGGAACACTTCCAGTGTGATTTCCAACAAGGCTACCACCAGGATAAATTCCAAGACAAATTTCAGCTACTATGTTTTAGTTAAATGGGTGCCTTATAGGAAAAAAAGGTTAACAGGAATTCTTTGGAAAAAAAGATGCTGTGAAGCATCTGATAGATGGGATCTCCTCAAACTCCAGCWGACTGGATTTGTTTGGCTTTGGAGGATCCCCTAGAAGGAGGAAATCATCTCTACATCTCTGTAATGGCTTCATTAGTTCAAAGAATGACTATTTTTCCCACCTGCTTGGCTGCTCTTATAATAAACGCTTCTACATAAATTGTACAACAGTGCAGCGAGCTGCTGGATGCTGCAAGTTTACACAAATTGTATTGCTTTCCATGAACCTACAGAGTGAACTCACTGCAATACATAAAGTGCTGGTGGTGCTATTCGTACACTGTCCATCCAAGAGAGCTCATAGCCTATTAGGAACACCCAAAGGCTGCAATCACTGCGCCATGCAGTACAGTCAAGTAATATAATAAAAAYCTTGCTCCAATGAGCAAGGATAAAGTCACCCTTGCTCAAAGACCATGTAGTGTGAAAGCCATATCCAGAGAGCTGCAGTGGGCCTCACGTGGAGACTGTCTTTGCACTGACTCACTGCACAACTGGGAACTCCCTTCAGGCTGCGACTACTCAGTCACAGCACAAGCAGCTCCGTTGCCTTAGGACAGCAACACCCCACTGGTGTTTGTTGCTGCGTAACATCAAGCTGCTAGTGTTGAAGTGGTGGATCAGGTCATGGATGTGCTTTCCAGCCCCTTCTGTGCAGAATGAAATTGCTAATTCAAAACAGCCCTGAGCAGAATGTGAAGTCAAGCGAGGGGATTTTGCACTGCAGTTGCTGGGGAAGGACTGTACGGTCCAGCCCACTGATTCAGCTGGGGAGGTGATAATCACARCTGGAAAGGTGATGAGAAACATCTGGTGAGGCAGCACTAACTAGCTGCAGCAAGGCTGGTTTTGTAGTGAATAACTAACTGTGCACAGAGGGCTGGAGGTGACATTATCAAGGAAGCAAGGAAACAGATGAAAATTAAATAACAAACTTCTACTGAAACTCAGTGAAGTGACTGTACTCATGCACTTCATTCTCCATCTTTAAATACTTCCTCTTACACTACTGACATCCAATATACTGGTCAATTTTGTTGTGTACGGCAAGGCATTTCTAAAGCCTACCCATGGCCCGAACTTACCTTGATGACATCTTCATCAGAGGATTTACACTCAACCGATTCCGAGATGTCCGTCACAGCACTGTTCTCCTCAATGGAGACCACTTTGATGGGCACAGCAACRGTTTTTCCTGTGAGAATTGCTGTGTTCAGAATTTCTGTGTCCTGCAAACAGAACAAAGCACAATACTGTAAAGGGACTGCCAGAGAGATTTCTGAAACRCAAGATCCAGCTCTTCAACTGTGCTTATATTCAAGAGAAACATGTTATTTCTCAGCAGCTCATCATCTAACCTCACCCACAATGAGGGTCAACTTTCCAAAACGGGGTAAAATCCCATCTGTACATTGGCTAAATAACCACCATCAGCTGAATTATACGTTGTTAAAGAGAGAGGAAAACAAAAGCAGGTAGTTCAGTCTGGGCAGGAACACATTACAAGTCACCTCTATTTTTTTAAGTATGTGCTGGTTTTCCCAACATTTACCTTCCAAACCATGAGTTCAGATTTTTTACTAAACTGGCTCTGAATGATGGATRCAAAAGTCTGCAAGAAGAAATATTACTCTTTGAATCAAAGCCCACTGCAAAGATGGGGCCTCTCAGTGAACTTTGTATCTGGAACTGTTTCAATATGATTTAATTTCCTTTGATAGGACCAATGAAGAAATGTAAGGAATTCAGAAAGAGTTAGTGGTACTATTAACTGTAGAGAAATAACAAGGAAATCTGGAGTTTGAACCTGGGTCATGGCATATAAAAGCCTTTCAATGCACCATCAGCTAAGCCCACTCTTCTAACAACTGGAATTGTTTCATCATTGCTGTATTCCCAAGATTCCCATGCAGGAACAACTTCAAGGTTTTCTCCAACTTTTCAATTTCCGTGTCTATAAAGTGAATAAAATATTCAGCAAAATCCTCAGCACCAAAGTTGAGAGGGCTGCAGCAGTAGCAAAAGGGGGCACTGACATTGTTTTCAATTCAAGTTTAGTGAGTTTGATATCTGGGTCAGATTTTCTTTTCATCTTGCAACTTGTTATTTCTCAGGTTCTCCTACAGCTCTCATAAGAAACCTCAACAAATTTAAAAAAAGTTAAGAAAAGGGAGGTTGACTGTTCTGGGAAAGTAAGAACTTTATCTTATTCCTACAGAATTTATGTAAATCTTGCTATCCAAATCAGAGGCAAGTTTATACACAAGAGTTTTTAGGTATTTAAGTCCATCTCCAAAAACTCCTTACTGATCAATTTTGAACACATACAGATTCAAATATTCCCCAGCCTATAGGGGTTCTGCCAGGTGCTCGTATTTTGAGATTTTCAGAATTTTGATCCAAAGTATGTATGTATTTATTTATTTATTTATTCCAAAAGGCCAGAAACAGGCACAAAAGAGCATATCATGCTGTGTATGTCCTTGGAAATGAATCTCTTGCCTCAAGCCCTTCACGCCTTTGCTTATTTTTTGTGACTCGGAGTGTTAAACAGTGCAAACTCAGGACTCCAGGGTGAAGGAGTAGAAAGAGAGTTTGCAGAAATGACAGGGCATCTTTTCAGGCTATCTCAGCTCTGCTTTGAAATGATACCACCCTGATCCACTATGTCTTTAGCTACTGAAGTGAATTACTGATAGAGAAATGTAATTTAAAGGGACAGGTTCAGAGGAAGAGAAATCCCATAGACAGAGACATGTTTTAGATATAACATATACTGTGTAGACATTATCCATATATGCATTTAATGGTAATTTACAGACGCATAAGAAAATCATACACACAAACCAAACAAAAGCCATCCTATTTCCAAGAGAAGATGAAAATGAAGAGCAATCAACATAATCTAAAATATCGAAAATACGATCTGCGAGGAATGACTGAAAGAACTTGGATAGCTTTGCTTTAATTTAAAAAAGCTTTATTTTTATTTTTATTTTTATTTTTATTTTTATTTTTATTTTTATTTTTATTTTTATTTTTATTTTTATTTTTATTTTAGCTTTAATTAAGCGGAAAGATGCTCCCTGTCTCCAGAGGGAGAAAAAAATTGTTTTCCATATCCAGGAAAATATGGACAGGGCCTGGAGGAACAGGCTTAAACTGCAACAAGAAAGATACAAGTTTGACATTAAGACCATCTTTATTATAAAAATAATGACAGAGAAGTGCTGGAATAGGTTGTCTAGGATGGGATATAATGCACAGCTAATCATAAGAGAATCTGTAAGGACTTTATATACATCTTTCAGAAGAAACACAGGTTCTCTGAGTCAGGGAGCAAATGAAAGGGAGCAGAGGACCTCTTGTGGCTCCTTCTACCTCTGTAGTTTTGTAATTTTCCAAACAGGCAATAACGCTCTATATCTTGTATCCTAAACAATTCTATTTGCTTCACTCATCCCAAATAAAATGATCCTTCCTCGCTGGACAAAAGCAAATGATCTTCACAATGAAAAAGATGGACAAGAAACTGTGACTGATCATCCTGTACAGAACTGATCTACCAGTTGTTAAGTAACAGCCTCTCATTTCTGTTTCTCTCCTTCCAATAGATCATTATGGGGCAATCTGAATTCTAGGCGGCTTTGATATAATGCTACAATTACAAAGGTTAAAAAACCTATTGAAATCCCCTAAAACCTTTCTAGAAAGAAGACACAGCAAATTTGACTACTGGCACATTATCAGCAATTAGAAAGCTCAATCTTCTGCCCTCTGCTAATGGTTTCATTAACGAAGGACCGTGCTGCTCTGAATAGATTCATTTTGATTAATTATTTCAGGTCTCCATCTGCACAAAAAAAAATGTAAAAAGGACAGTTTGCCGTGATAAAGGCTAGTGAAGTTTTACAAACAGCTTTACAATATCAACTTCAGGAATTTCACATTCATGATGTGCACAGAGGAAATGGAAATATACTGGACACATTATCTAATGGGTCCATAGCTGGTACCACTCCAATCATTAGAGATCCTCAGCATCAGGAGGCAATTGGCAGCTGCCTGGCTACTGCTTTGAGCAGAGATGGAAACTTTCATATTTCACCTCCACAGTTACAACTCGGTAGTTCTAACACAGGTTAAGATATACTAAAATCCACAGATTAAGATTACACAGATTAAGAAACACTAAAATATATTAATTTATTACACATTATGGTAAAGGCAATTTTAAAATCTGCTGCTTCTCTTATTTGCTCTGTAAATGCCCTGTGCTAGTTAGCTGTAATATTTAAGAAGGTAAGACCAAGGAATTCAGTCTTCCTTCTTTTATCTCTTCTTAGGATTAACCAGAAAAAAGTGCCCCCTATATGCCTGTACCCTGAATAGCCTTATAGCCTTATTTCCTTCATAGAGCTGCCACAGAATGTGGCCTCAATGTGACAGAGAATCGTCCCACTGTCTGCCCTCATACACAAGCTGCTAAGCAGAAAACTGTAAATGATAAATGAAAGGATTCATGGTCCAAGACTCCTCCAAAGCTGAACTGGAACTTCATAAAAAGAAAAGCAGAACTCTTCTGTGTGCCTGCTCCGCAGTAGCGGGCACTCCATCGAGCACCATGACAAGAGGGCTCCCATTCACCACCCAGCACCGGCGCTTCCCTGACTTGTGGCCATTGCTTCCAGCACCCAGGGTTACCCGTTGAGAAATTGCAGCTGAATCTTTAAGAATAAATCAATCAATATAAAGAAAACAATTAYCTCTCATGAGGCAACTGCAGGAAATACAACTGCTGCTATAGGCAGTGATTTTCATACTCTTATTTTTTAAATGCAATATATGATCCTGTTTGCAAGCTAATTTGGGAGTATACAAACATTACTAAGAAATCTTTAGAGAAGCTAAGAACTCATTTAAAATGTAGGCACTTTTCAAAATCATAGTAACTTGGTGACTTCCACTTTCCTTAATTTTTAAAATCCCCCAAGAACTAATCTACTTTCTATGCAGGCAGCAACTAAAGTTTTAAAATCAAATTTATTTCRTGTGGCAAAGACTGAAAGTGCCTGACAGTAATGTTTGGACTTGTTCCCAATAAATTTAAAAATGGGGAAAGCAGTTTAAAGTAAATTGAGAGAACAGAAAGAGGATGAGATATAATAAGGCATCAATATCCAAACTGGAAAGAAGTTTCTCTTAGTGTATTACAAACTTTTAAAAAACAAGGGTTGTCATTTCCAAAGTCAAAATGGGGAGCTACTTATGCAATTCCCACTGATGTGGAAGAGAAATGTGAGGCATGAATTTCTGTGGGAGGCCCACGCTGTCTTTGCAAAATGATGACAGAGACACAAGGTCTGACTCTCACCCTGCAGAGACAAGGTTTGGAGAGACAAAGTCTCTGCAGAGCATTTTCTTTACTGTTCCTATGGGGGTTACAGGAAAGCTCTAATATCTAGACTTAAGTCTCTCATTGAAGGAGATAGTCAGATAAAAAATTTAGTTGTGTGCTTAAGAAATGACTATTAAAAGTGATTGCAAAGGTTTAACTTCAAGTTAGTTTTCCTAGACAGAAAACAGTAAACGTCTTCATCCAACATAACATTTTCACTATCCACTAACAAAACACCTATCCTTTCCCGGCTCAGATAATTTCTTGCACCCTTGCCCAGCCAAGTCAGCACTTCTTCTGCCTGATGGAATCCCACCCTTTTACGAAGGACCTGAACCATCAGATTTGTCAAGGGCACGGACTGCCCTTCCTCCTCTTCACCACCTTCAGCTTGATTCAGTGACCTCAGAAATTTAGAGGTCACAACAGCATCATACCTAATATAGATAAAGAAAACCTTCTGCACTGGCATCTTATGCTGCATGCATGGTGGGAAGCCTCTGCAGTGTGAGCAACTTCTGCTGCTTTTCTGTCTCCCTCGGATACCTAAAGGAAGCCAGAGGTCTCAGTGTCTTTCCTACCTCTTTACAGCTAAGCACTTGGTTAGCTGTGACTCAGGAGCAATCGGTCAGGACAAAGGGACTTCCTGCCTTCATTTATCTGCATTGGCAATTTGAAGAAACATTTGATCAAGARTCCTACAGGTGAGAACAAGTTAAATCTCATCATTTTGAATTCCTGTGTCCAATACCAAGTTAGGACAGTTACAGATCTTCACATTACATTTATATAAAATTAAAAAGAAAAACAACTGGCATTGCAAAGAAAACT